ATTGTAAGTGATTAAATGTAATTCTTATCAGAAATAAATCAAGACTAAGGAGTTCTACCAGTTTTTTTCATTGCGCCACCCACCTCCACCATTAGACTAAGTTGCCATAAGTCGCCACAGTAGCTTAGTAGTTAGAGCAGTGCCCGGATTGCGTAAGATCATGGGTTGGAGACCTTCCGATCTCAGAGTGCCAGGGATAAAGCGGAGTTTTAAGCATTTTTTATTAAGAATATTTTCGTATTTGCATTGTAAATGCAATATTGATCAAATAAAATAATGATAGAGGTATATTTATTTATTGATTTTAGAAAAACCAACTGCCAATTACAGGTGGCCGTATATATAATCCACTTTCTTTCTTAAATCAATTTTTTAATTTCCTTTTTTTCGCAAAATGAATTGTTATTTTGTCGCTTTTATTTTTTTACTATCATATTTCAAACAAAACTTTACCGACAGGACGTGGACCGCCGCGAATATACGCTAATATTGTACAACACACAAATTGCAATAGCTGTGTGTCGCACGTGCGCTGTTTTTTAAATTTATGAATAATTCGTGTGTTTCCAGATAAACAAATATAACAAAAAGGTATAATAAAATCCATTGATTGGTATCACTTTCTAATTCAAATTTTATCCTTGAATAGGTCGCAGAAAACAAACTACACCTTCCCTTTAAGGACTAATGAGTGCACAGATATTAACAAATACACATTTAATCCTATGTACACTATTATGAATTCGAATCCTTGTTTGTTGTCATCACGGGATTTCTGGCACTGGTGAATTTTTCAAGCATTTTTCTTTCGAGTATTTCTTTATCATTATATAATTCACGAATGCAAACATAACAGAACGAACTTAATAATTACACTTAATAGTGGTAAAGTAGCAGCCAAAATTAGAATTTAATGTTGAACTGAATTTCTGAAAACTATAGTCCCATTTATTCAACACTATTTCACTAATCAGAAGCCCAATTCTACTAATTTGCAACGATCGATCATCAATAGCGTTTCTATAACGTTCTGTTTCGATTGTTGCCGTAAATTTGCATTCGGCTAACGTCAATTTTATCAAAACGTTGACTAAACTAAAACGTAATTGTAGCCGAACCCAAGCAGAACCACGCACACATACAAATGAATGAAACTATTCTAATCAGTTAATGAGAGACGAATAATAACCACTAAAAGCTGCAGTTTAGCTGAGTTTCGTTCCGTTATCGATTCAATTTAAATAAAAATTATTTAGTAGAACCGGGCCCCAGGTTAGAACCGAATTTGTATTTACTTTAGAATGAAACCCTTAGGATTTAAAATCAATTGGAAAAGATTACACTTTTAAATAATCATTATCAACGACAATTATTATTTAAGAAATAACGTGCTTCTGAATCAACAATACAAATAATCCCTAAAAGCCATGAAAACTGGTATATATATACATTCTTGATACTTTTGAGCACAGAGTAAATAAAATATAGAGAAGCATTTGTCCCCAGTGACTGCTATGTTTGTTGACGAACCCCTAAAAGCCTTATAAACGAGGGTGTTTTACGAGACCTTCTTTATTTGAAGCCGACAAGACGTTGCAAAGAAAGGAGAGGAGCTCAATCTCTTTTATTTTATTACAACTGTAGTTATACAGAATAGAATATTACCTTGTTAAACTGAAGTTTAGAAGTCGTGTTTTATTTATGTACTTTGTTTTACTGAATACATGAAAAATTTAAGAAGATTGTCTTATAGCTTTTGGTATTAAAAAAAAAATAAAATCGATGAGCTCGATGGCGCGGTCTGCGATACGATTGTTAAGCGACTTTTGCAATGACCTGTCATAAGATAATTGACATTTATTATCTCGAGCTACTCCGTGCTTCGGAAGTCACGTTAAGCCGTTGGTCCCGGCTACATCAGCAGTCGTTAATTCCATCAATCCGCACTGGACCCGCGTGGTGGGTCACAGATTTAATTCGATTCCATCCATATGGAAGGCCTGAGCACCAGCAGCAATTTTTGTACTCATGATAACATTCGTCCCATAATTTGCTCGTATGCCGAATACTGTTCCGCCATCGCATTCTTCCATTCATAGTTACCCAATATTTATACGCCTATTGCCACAGCTATTAATTACAAGTTCTAGATATGATAGATTATATGATACATTAAGCCATATAAGAGCTTTCCAACTTCTGTAGATAGAACTATTATACAAACATGATAGAATTTATATGTAATAGTTTTAGTCTGATTAATAGCTTGGCTTATAAAACTATGATATACGTGATCGAATATCATATCTACTATCGTGTTTTAAACATGTCTTCAGCAAAGCAAAATGCGATATTATATATGTGTTTAAGTAACTTTTATGAATACTATCTGACTTCAATATATCGATAGCACTTTTTTATAGGAGCTAATGTGCATAAACTTTTCAAGCCATATGAAAGATCAAGCAATACACTTTCTATTACCGAGCATTATTAATTAGAAATAAGGTTAATAAACAACGAAAGTTTAACTGCTCTGCTTCTGTTTCTGAGCAGTTACGAGTCTTGATGATTAGAAACTGTTTACGACTATCACAAATGCTTACAACTAACAAAATTAAATTATAAGTTCGCAAAATTAGCAAAACACTTTGTCCCAGTTTTTTCGCTTCTATTTAGTGTAGGGTTTTCAATATCATAAAAAAATTTAAACAACTGTCAATTTATCCATTTTATTGTTGCAAAGGACAATTCTTGTCGACAACTTAAAAATATATCTATACATGCCTATATTAATATTTTGAAGAAGTTTCTAACTATTTGTTTGTTTGTAGGGGGTAATCTTCGGTGATACTGATGGATTTTTTTCAGTAACGACACACGGTCTCTGAGTTAAGAATTTAAAGTTAAGAACGTCTCAAACTGTTCTTAAACGTCACTCAAATAGGTTTTTGTTTTTAGTTTTTTAAATGATCAGTGGAAAGCAGTTTGATAAAACCAGGTCCTGTGAATTATAGAGAATAATCAGTTGAGATTGTGTACTTTTCTCAATTCGATGACCATCAGGTAGGCTATAATTATCGCGGGCTTACCACGGAAAAAAAGCTTGTACTAAATAAAATAATACGAGATGAAACGGTAACTTTGAGTCTTTATGTTATGGAAATCTGAAACAACAAAAGTCAAATGTGAGATGGTATAAAAAATAATTTTATCCACCGCAGATTTATCCGAGTTCTCAGAGATGGCGACACCTTAAGCTGCTTTGCTATTATTAAGCTGCATCATTGGTTGTATCAAAGTTGCTATAGGTATGCAGTTTTATATAAGATAATTTACCCAAAGTTTTAAAAAAAAAATTAACATATTTTAGTCTGCTGCTTAACGTTTGCTGCTTGATAAATCTAAAAAATTTTTTTTTCGTTATAAAGTTCTGTTCATGTATTGTGTCATGTGTGAGTGAATACTTTTTCTTCTTAATCGCTACACTCTTGGTAAACATATTTCAATGACCTTTCAACTGCATTTACCACAAACGTATATCTGAGAAAATATTTTTCAGATATACGTTTGGTTATCCGAGCTTTTACAGTAATTTAACTTTGTAACAAAAAGTGAATGAATAATGTCTTAAATATTAATATATTTCAGAGCATATGAATGTACAAATATTCAACCATCTCTGATACTCATTTATCGGTTATTGTGTACATGATTCCACGCGTCCTTTTATAACCAACTTCAAAATCGAGAAAGAGGAGGTTATATGTTTGAAGGCGATTTATCTTTTTTACGTGTGTTCACCGAAATTTCCACCAATTGTTAATTTTTTTTTATTCAACAGCTTAATGGAATAAAGTGGTGCCATTTAAATTTTATCAAAATTCGATTAGTGGTTTCCTTTTTTAAAAAAGACAAAATACGCTTTTCAACACATAACACCTTAATATTTAGATGATATATTTATTACATCTAAAAAATAAAAGATTGCGTATTTGAATTCATTCAAAACCTGAAAGTCTATGTCCAAAGAGTTTGTATATTTTTTATGAAAGTAGATATGTTCATCGATATCTTCTTGATTTGTGAACCAATTCCTATTAAAAACTACAACCGAAGCGCCCCGCGTATTATGTAGCTTCCCGTAGATGAAAAACTTTTAAAATTGGTCAACCGCAACCAAAATTGGTCAACTCCAATACAAATAAATGAGCAATAAAATCTTTTCTCTTTATAATGAGAGTGTTAGATCTCTTTATAATGAGAGTATACATAATTGGAAATAATTATGTTGATCAAATAAACAAAACCTCCTTTTCTACTTTTGACCTCCTTTTGACTTTCGATATGTTAATTTTTTTTATTAACATTTAAATATTTTTAGTATTATGTAACTATTTTTATTAAAAAATATCAATATCAATAAAAACAGCATGGACTTCAATAGCATTTTCTTAGTCGCATTTGTGTTAAGTATTATTTATTACTTATCCAAAATTTAAAATCATTCTATTTTTTCAAGTTTTTATTTACATTAAAGTTATTTTAACATTCAAGTTCACCAATATATAAATATAAATTGGTCTAACTAAGGTAATAAAATTTTTAAATATTTAGCTAAGATGCTGTCAAATTTCGATTAATTTAGTTTTTCTCGTTGCTTCTTATGAATAAAATATAATAATACACAGCTCTAAGTAAAAAAACGGTGTAACTATTAACCGACTTCAGAAAGGACTTTATTTTTTTTTCAAATAAATAATACTTGTCGACAATGCGTATTGATTTTACGGCGCCTTAAAATAGATAGATGAGCAACACAGGTATTCTATAGAGAATATACGTCTATGGTTATATTAAAAAACAACCTAGTATTTTCTTCTTAGTCTGTGATATATCGTTATACTCTTTGCGTTGTATTTGGAATTTATTTTAATTTAAGATTACAAAATAGGGACAGTTGGATTATTTTGGATATTTCGGAATTAATTTGGAATTTAATGTCAGGATATCTTTGGGGTATTGGGCAACTCGTCAATGATCCTTCAGCACATTTAATTGATGCTATACAAAAACATATTTTGAAGAAACAAACAACAGTGTGCAATGCCTCTACCACAAACAACTCTCATGGAAAACCGCTAAATATTATACAGAGTTCAACTAATATATCTAATATTAACAAAGACTCTGGATGTAGACTATCTGATTCATGCAGTAGGAAAGTATGCGACAAAGAAACCAGAACAACAAGCACCCAAGTGGGAAACAGTTCTGTAAAACGTAGACATGTCTCTACTCAGTGCCAAGGATTAACAAAAAAACATAGTCAAACGACGAGCACTAGACACATTGATTACTTAGATTGTAGTACCGTTATATCAAATGCTAACGTGAAGAAAGAATCAGAAGTCAAAGAGGCCCAAACTAATACAATGAACCTCAGAGTCTGCAGACGGCATCGCCAAGCGTTTAAAGTTTTGAGTAATTGCTCAGCAATCAGTGAGTTGCAGTCCAATAAAAGCACACAACTTGATATACTAAAGAAATTGAAAAATAGAATCAGTAACGTTTTCAGTTTTTTATCATTGGATAAAATTGAAAACATACCTCGTTATAAGTCTGAAGAGCAATATTTCTTCAAACTTTATAAAACTTTGAGTTGTGAAAATATAAGAAAGGTTTCTCGCAAACCCAGTAACAATTGTGATTGAATACAGTGGAATATAAAAGCTGTAATAACATTTTACAGCTATATGAGTTTTCATAAAAAAAACCTTGAATATTTCAACATCGCTGTATTGCGTTACTAATTAAAGTAGAGATATTTCTCGACGTTACATTTTTTTCCTTTTAGCTCGTTATCCAGCAGACCCTACATAAATTAAATTTAACTCTGAAAATGACAAACTCCACAAGTCTGGAGTCATTTCCAACATGAATATGACAAATTCATTAACTCGTCAAATCAACATTAAGTTGTAAGAAAAGTATTATAGTCTTTTAATTTCCATATTTTTTCTTTTTTAATTGTAATATTTCATTATTTCTTCTTTATTTCCTGAAGCAGCTTACTTTTAATTTTGATGAATTTTCGATCCATAATAAATTTAACCCCTAATTCTTTAACCAAATTTCACAATTTAAGTAATAACCTATTACTGTAACCTGTTTATGTAACATCACCACGCATTTGACCCTTCTTACCCATTTAAATGTTTGAATTTCTGAAAATCCCTTTAGAGTGCTCTTCTAAATTGTAAAAGGAAGTCTTGCGTAAAACTTCTAGTCCTAGTAGTAAGATCTTTGCTCTAATGTACCAACCAGACAAACAGTTTCTCCTTTTGTATATTAAAATCCTGAATCCTTACCTAAGGCGTATTTTAATTCATATTTAACTCATTTTGAAAAAGAGTTCCAAGCAGTACAATAAAATATTGAAATAGAGTATGTTGAGATTGTTCCTTTGTATTTTAATCATACATTTACCAATTTTAACAGATATAGTTTTATTTTTAAGTTTTAATTTAATAATAATAAAATTGCTTACTACTTACTTAAAAGTGATTTTGTATATTAAGACTTATACTACGGAGTTGTAGCGTCTCTTTTCTCACATTAGTGCCATAATCAAAAATATAATTCTGAGACTTCTAATATTAAACGATATTTGAACAGTATCTGTACTTGACAGTCTAAAGTTTACTACAAACTGTGAATTGATTGAAAATTACATAAAGGTAAGAAGATAAAATAAATTAATTATGTTGTTAATTACTTTTGAACTCTATAAAGATTTTAAAATAAAACAGATTTATAGAAATGTTGTAATGGCGTAAAATGTTGTTTTTAATCTAAATTAAAAATGTTATTTTGTGTGCTGTAATAATTGCTTGCTTTATATGTAATTGATCTTTTAAGTTACATTGCCTACTAGAATGCCTAATATCCTACTTACTTAAACAAAACAACCTGACCAATAATATAGTTCTATCCATTCTCTACTACATATTAGTATCTTTTGCATACATTCATAATAATAAAAACTAAACTAACTTACTATATCCTATAGTACCAACCTTATTTTGTTAGAATAACATGACAACAAACGTAGTTTCTTACTTACTTTATGATGACAACTAAATAATATGTACGAGACTATCAAAGAGGAAAAAAACGACATTACAATAAAAATTATAGAATTAACAATTTTAAAATCATTATGAAATCATAATATCGCCGATAACATCGTTATAATACTTCACTGTGTGCCACATTATGGTATACCATTATATTATAGTATTACCTACGACATTAAGTTCGCATATGTAGCTTGTATTGTACACACATAAAATCGAAAACAAAATCTATAAACCTAGTATTAGAACAATATTCTTATAGAATATAATTCTACAAGAATATAATTCTATCGAACGCTTTAAATATAAAATAATTCTAGTGTTCCTTTTTTTCAACATCACAATTGGTTTTCCAGTAAACAACTTATTTAAAAGAGAACCATTCATTTTAAAGATATTTATTTGATGAGAACATCAACATAATGTAGATGTAATTTGGCAGACACTTCAAAACTTATTCTCTAGAATTTATTACTGTTTTCCGTTGATATCAGCAATAAAGCAACCATTATAGCTTCCAACGTAATATAATTTTACATTCTTCTGAAACTTCAATACTTTAGTCTTAGGTCTTTCTATTTTAAATAAATGTAATAGTAAATCACTGTCGTTGAACGTTACTCAAATATAATTAAATACTCATTCTTATTCATCAATTACTCATTCTTATCGATTTTTTTTTAAATACTTTACAGATATCAGACCCACGTGTTTCCTCCCAAACCTCATTGCAGTGCCCTTGTAGTGCTTCTGCTGTTCGTTCATTACGGTTACACCATCTCTGAACCATAAGACCCCACATATTTTCAATAGGGTTGAGATCTGGCGATTTTGCAGGCCATGGTATCAAGTTTATTTCCGGATGTGCATCAAACCAAGCACGTGTTACCCTTGCTTTATGTAAGGGACAGTTATCCTGTAAATAATTAAATTGACGCATTTCATTTTCTGGATAAACGTTCCGGACGGATGGCAACATAGCATTTTGGAGAACATCAACATAATCTGATGCCGTTGCTCGTGGTGGCAAAAAGGTCAAGTCTCCAACACCATCAGCAGTCATCCATCCATACAAATTTACCGAGATACGACCCGATTCTCTATTTGGCACGACATGATTTTGCGTGTATCGCGTTTTATTGAATCGCCAAAGGTGTAGACGCCCGTGTTGACTGGATTTAAAAGTTTTCTCGTCACAGAAAACAGTGTTACTCCAATCAAAATCCAAATATTCTATGGCGAAATTTAATCTGGCCATTCTATGAGCGTCAGTCATATAAATTTTCTTTGCATAACGCCTGTGATGTAAGCCCATGTAATGTAAATGGTTTCTAATGGTTTGGAGAGTCACGTCAAATATGTCGGCAAAATAACGCGTTGGTATAAAGCCAGATTCCTCATAACTCCGTCTCATGAAGACTCGCTGAGTATCTGATATTTCAGGTCTACGACCGCTACGACTCCGAGCGTTCAAATTCCCCTCCTCGCTTTCTCGTCTTATCCAAAGACGGACAGCTTGTCTCTATAATCAAAAATAAAATATGAACAGAAAAAAAAAAAAAAATTTACACTCGGACTTGGTCTGAGATTTTACATTAAACTCACGTCAGACATAATAATACTTACCGACACATTTAATTCTCTAGAAATCTCACTAATATTCAAACCATCATTGTGTAATGCGATTATTTGTGCTCTTTCGTTAATGGATAAATTTCGGGGCATTGTAGTGTAAATTAATTAGGAAAATACCTTGGCGGTCTCACGTGCCTATACACTTCAAAATCTCGTTCGCTTGGCACACACTTGATGCAATTTTAGGAGGCGGAGTTACGGGCGCATCTTCATTGGTCGTAGTATTTTACTATGACCAATCAGCATGGCTCTACGTATGCAACAAATACAATGAATGCAATAACAGTGTTGTTATTTTTTTTAGTTTAGTCGCTTTTTGCATATTGCTAATTGTTGACGTGCTCACTCTGGATTTTCTTTTAACCTCCGCATTCTCATTGGACTGATACCTGTTAATACCTGACCACCGTGCTAGAAACTGGTCTTTTGATTTGCTTAACGTGACCTTGGCTTGAATTTGGACCATGTCTTCGAGGAACCTCTCTATACAAGAGAGGAGTCGTATCGTCGCATTACTTGAAGATGGAATGAATATAAGCGAAATATCCAGAGAGCTGGGATTGACGGTAAGTGTAACATACTCACTGCTTATTATTGATTATATACAAACTGTTATTGCAAATTAAATATTTAAATTATTATTGTTTACAATTTATAATTGTACTAGTTTTCCACCAGCGGCTTAGCCCGCGTGGTCTCCAGGAACCCTTATTTTCGTGATAAAAAGTAGCCTACTTTCTCAAAGTTAACTCTGTACCAAATTTCATGAAAATAAGTTCGGTGGTTTAGACCTGAAAGCATAACAAACAGACAGAGTTACTATTGCATTAATAATTTTAATAGGGATTATAACATTATATCAGATCAAATGGAATTTTCACTTTCCTTAGAAATTAATGGAATTACGTTTTTCCTCTACATTGAAGAGTTCCTCGATGATTAAATATTTATATTAGCTTACGATTATTATACCAATACTGTTATAACTACCTCTAATATCATTCTCTACACTACTCATTTCTCATTTTTATTTCGTTTTGTTTTTAAGTAATTCCTTAGTGTCATGTGATCAAAGATTCCTATTTCACAAAAAGAATCAATAATAAAATTGTAAAAACATACAAAGTTCACTCAAAATTCAAGATGTTGCCAAACCGCTTCGTTTCTAGAACGCTGGCGCCGTGCCGTATGAAAAAAAATTCAAACATAAAAACTCTTGTGGTTGCCGACAAAGACGAGGCGAAAATCAAAGACGCGCTCCTTGTTAGCTATCTCTTTTACTGTCATACAAACAATATTAGTTCATGGATATCAGTCGTAAGGTCGAATTTCGTTGTTACTGTTCTGACACTGGCTATAGAAACTTGGCAACATCGTATAAATAAAAGAAACATTTATTCTTAAAAAATGTATGAATTTGTTGAACTGGAACGATAGTTCTTTCAAACAAAGTAATATGTTAACTCAGTTGATTTTAAACCATTTTTGATGAAAAAAGATCAAATGCAATTTACTACGTTCATTAATTTAATTTTTTAGGTAAGCAGAAACTTGAATTACTACTCGTTAATTTAATGTTTTTTTTTAATATTTTCAATATTTGGTTTGAATATTAAGAATTCATTATAATATTTTTATTTTTGTATTTTACTGTGAATTTAATTGATCTTTATAATCTTATTGATAAATTGATCTTTAAATATTTTAATATATTAGGCCCTGCATTTGCGTTATTTTCAGATGCGCCTGCTAAATAAGCAATGAAATAAATTTATTAAAATAACGAATTAAAGTTAATGTGAAAATATATAAATAGTGCGATTTTTTTATTTTTGTTTTTTTTTATTAGGTTCTAATAGCAGAAGAGGCATCTAATAGAATAGTAAAGTAAAGTACTAGTAACAAGCTTTACTTATTGACTGATACATAATTAATTGGATAACATTGTTTCAGCGACAGCAAAAAAGATTTACTATATAATGTGAAAATAAATAAAACTACTTTTGCCGGATAAAATGCGTTTATATGTGCAATGTTCATTTCATTTATTTTATACTCTAATTTACTTATTTTGTTGTTAACTCGGTTATGATTGTCTGTGAATTTTTTATAAGTATATAACGTCTACATAAATACACGCCCTTAAATACGTTCAAAAGTAAAATATTATAGATTGAAGTTTCATTTTAATAAATAATTTTGTTACAGCGACCTACTGTGGGCCTCTGGGTCAATCGTTTTGAAGAAGAAGGACACGTGGACGCCCGATCAAGACAACCCGAACATTCCTATTTAATATCGGCGGAGCAGTCTCAGCGAATGGTTAATGTTTACGCGACTGCGCCTTTTACTCCAACGCGAACATTCGCTGAAGAGTTTGTACTATACGGAGAACCCTCCAAAGAGCAGGAGTTCATCACAGAAGACCCGCAAAAAAAAAAAGAACGAACAAAACAAAATTGATAGATTCCGATTTGCACGAGAGTACCGAGACATTAATGTTATAAATATGATAACATCTAAATACTGGAACGATAACGAAAGAAAATTATCACTAATTAATTACTAATTGTGTTAAACAAATGTTTCTTTGTTTGTGTTTTCAAATTTTTTGTATCATGAAATTGATATTTACATTATTAGGAAAACAGCTAAAATCAAAATCCATAAAGATACATAAATAAGTTAATATTGAGGGGAAATATCATTACTTTAATTGTAATTATTGTATGACAACTGTTGGTGACCTTTTTTGGAATCTGTTCATATTTATTTAGAAAGATTTTTCTCTTGTTTATTTAGTTTAACTGAAACTGTGTTTTAGATCAATCCTCAATATTTCTTAGAATTGACACAGTTTAAATTTCTTAAAAATTTCCCTTTATATATTTTGTGCAAGTAGTTATAGTAGTAGCAGCATGCACGTGGTCTCGTTAATTTTTATTGGGTTTACGGGAAGATCAAATGAAAAAATTGTGGTAGCAAAAATATGAGATAAGAAACTAAGAGCATTTAGATAACAACAATGCAAGACATAAAGACAAAACAGTGGTTTTTTGTTACAGATTTGTTTAACTCCGACAACGGCGGCGGCTTCTAAGAAAGCAAGTAATTTGCTTTCTTAGAAGCCGCCGCCGTTGTCGGAGTGCGGCAATTCTATTGCACAAACTATACTTAATTTAATTTTAAGTCCTCCAAACGGCATTTTCAAATCTGTAAACAACTAAGAGAACAAAAATAAACTTTCTATATTATTCTATAGGGGTATATATTCAATTTTTTATCATCTAACTGCAAAAAGCACTAAAAATACATTAAAAAAATCAAATTAAATTTATATATTTTAAGTTTATTATATTATGTCGGGTATTTTATAACTATTTTGCTAAGATATTAATTTGTTTATTAAATGAGAGTAAATGAATAATTTTTAACATTAAATTATGTTTTATTTGAACCCCTGCTGACTAGAAAAATAATTAACATTGATATACTTATTTAGAATCACCATGAAAGAGAGAAATGATTTGTATTTTATGAAAGTTGGTCTTGTTATCTTATTTTTAACCAACTTCAAAAAAGAAGGAGGTTCTCAATTTAACTGTACTTTTTTTCTTGTTTATTACCTCATAACTTTTGACTGGTGGACCGATTTTAATGATAATTATTTGATAGCTAGTGCTTGCCGTGTGGTCCAGATCTGGCAATGGCATCTATGAGAAAACCGTATAAGTCTTAAATTTGCATTAAGTATGCGTGATGTGAATGTATGAAATAAAAACTTTAAAAAAATGGAACCGACTTCAAGCGGGCTGAGGTTTTCTGTAGTTAATTAAATATTAACTGCCCGACTTTAATGTTTCTTTAAAAATTAACCGTTTTTAAGATAAATGTTATTTTTCACTTTTTTAAATTTGATGTCGGTTCAAATTTTTTTAAAGTTTTTACTTTCTTTTTTGTCATAAGATACTTGCTCAATTAAAGTTGTTATATTTAAAAAATATATATTTGCCAATTATAACAAATCAATCAAATGAAATTAATAACTTTCGGTTTTAAATATTAGATCATTATTTATTACACTAATATTATAAATGTGAAAGTTTGTTTGTTTGTCCGTCGATCACGCTGAAACTACTGAACAGATTTTGATGAAATTTGGTATACAGGTAGGGTATTAGCTGACTTAGATAATAGGATACCTTTATCCTACTAAATATTTCCCTAGGGACCGCGCGACCGAAGCCGCTAGCGGAAAGCTAGTCTTAAATAAATACTTCTATCTATTTCTATTGTATCACAAGTAAATTGGCTCATGTTTTATGAAATTGACTTGGAAACTTAACAAATTGTTTCTTACAGATATACTAAAAGTACTAAAAGTATATCTGTAAGAAACAATTTCTAAATTTCGAGAATTTGATCATGAAATAAATCTATTTAATTTATTATATGCATATACCTAATTATTTTGTAATTAAAATATCTAGTGTAATAATATTGCATTACCTATATTATATCAATTATTAAAAATCAAAAAGCAGATTAATCATATTTCAGGAAGAATGGCATTTCTACTTTTTAATACAACTATGATTGTGTGAATTTAAAATATTTAGGTTAGTTGTAGTAAAGAAAGTAGTAAAACTGGAACGAAAACGAAAGAAACTTAACAAATAGTTTCTTACAGAACTATCCGACAAAATACTTAAAGATACAAAATATTAGATGTTAAGCAATTGCATTGTTGTCAAGCCGTTACAAATATACTTGTAGCGACTTGGCAACAATGCAATAATGCAGAAACAAAATGAAGAAATTTGAACTTTATAACTGTATCTCAAGAACTTGTATTGTTTGTACGATGGTAAAAGTGGTAGATTAACTTACGCATAATGTCTTATTTTTAAATTGTCATTTTTTACTTACGAATGAGACACAATTAATATTGCAGTATATTATAAAAATCAATAATCTGTAATTTTATTGTAGAGAACAACTTTCATTATTATAATTGACAGTTTTGTTAACTATAATTAACATGAAACTATTTTTCTTTCTTTCTTTATTATTATTGTAAATTAAAAATGGTGTTTTATATATGTTTATTATAAATCAATCTATACTGATAATATTCAGACGATTAAGATTTTTCTTGTTTGTTTGGTTGAACGCGCTTATCACAGGGACTGGTTTTGGCTTTAAACTTATACGAGGACTAAATAACACATAATAATGAATCGTCCATTGTCTAAATCCTAAACAAATATAAAACTAAGCTTAATTATATGCACTATTCATTCATCACATCCAACTATCGATGCTCATTCATGAATGCCAAATAAAAAAAGTCAAACTCCGCCCCGTACAAACTATACAAAGTGAGCGCACGGGAAACACGACCTTAAGGTGGATAGGCACGCTTGACCACGAGGGCGGGATGATAAATAGCTAGCCTAGCATAGAAAAACTTGAATTAGTGTGTTAAAAGTATATTAATTTTTTGACATAGTCTCCTTAAAGCGCTGTGCACTTCATCCATCTATGCTCTAAAGCCTTGATACCATCCCTGAAATGATTTTCTTCAAGCCCTTTAAAATAACTGTCCACGGCAGACATCACCTCGCTATTATTTTCAAATCTTTGTCCACCTAAAGAATTTTCACGGCTTCTGCTTTCTTTGGAGCCGGGGATCCTTTTTCCGTCCATTGTTTAGACTGAATTTTGATTCAGGTATATAATGGTGAACCCAAGACTCGTCTGTAGTAACAAACCGTCCCAGAAAATCAGTTGTATTGCTCTTAACGCGGTCCAAACATTCTTGTGGAACGCGTTTTTGGTCAACTGTGAGCAATCGCGGCACCCACCTTGCGGATAATTTTTTCATACATAATTCTTGGGTCAAAATGTAACGCGCCCGTTCTTTAGTATGCCTACAGTATCAGCTATCTCGGAAAGTTTCAATCTTCGGTCAGCTAAAACTGCATCATGAATTTTGATCACAATTTCTGGAGTAGTGGCACTATTTGGACGTCCTGGACTATGTTCATCTTGGGTGCTGGTACGGCCACGTTTAAATTCAGCCACCCAATTTTTTATGGTCGCATATAAAGGAGCATTTTCACCCAAAACATCCTTTATCTCCGAAAAAATCTCTCCACCTTTTAATCCATTTAAAAGAAAAAACTTTATCACAACTCGTAGCTAAATTTTATTCATTTTGCAAAAAAAAAACAAAAGAATGCTTTTTGAAATGTCAATATTTAAAAGAAAAACTATACGATCGTTTTGAAATTTGGAACACTGGCGGCTAATGAACCAATGAGTAAAATACTAATCAGCTATTTATCATCCCGTCTACGTAAATGCGGAAAATTGGTTCGTAATTGAGAAACACCGATGTAATTTCTTTGTGGTTTTATTATTTACCATGTTACTTATATTTAAGTAATATTTCTAATTAAGTGTGGATTATACAGATCTAAGTATATCTATATATAGTATGAATGTCGCTTCCCGCCATCTGTACGTTGAGATCTTTCAAACCACACTACGTGTTTTAATGCTGTTTACTTACAGTTAATCAATATCAAGATTAAAGCGGAAGACTTTACGCGGGCGAAGCCGCTGGCAGAAAGCTAGTATATAATAATTACTGTTACAATTTGTCATACTACTTATAACTTTTATGAATTGGTATTCACGACAGTCAGCTACCATACTAGTCAGCTTGGCTAGTTACGAGTAACTCGATCATACGATCCGAGTAACTTTAGCATTTTTATATGGATCAATTTTTAGTTTTCAACATACGAAAGTCTAAAAATATCGTAAAGAATTGATAACTTATTTCTTTCTTAAAGCGTTTTCAAGTCAATCGAGTGCAATATCTAAGCGAATATGCATATGACGCCAAGTGAAGTCGTGAAGCTACGGAGCGTGAAATAGCGATAAATCAGACGTTTATAACGTCGCTTGCTGGAGCAATTTACAATTCCGTCCTTTGAACATACAAAGCAGTGCTGCTATCTGGCAGTGATTGCCGGTAAATATTGTATTGATATAGTGTACTAATTGAATACCAACATCTGAAGTTAAACTGTTCGTACCCTTGAGTTAATAAGAAAGCAGAATGAGTTTTATTGCGCATTTCTGTAAAATGCTTATGGCGCCCAATTATTTTACTGAATAATATTATTCATATGCGACATTAAAGTAAACATTATATTTCAGTGTCAATAGTGAATGGTCCTCTGATTTTAGTGCAAAAATGGAGTAAGTGAACAGGAAAGCGCGAATGGGTCACGTATTTCTTATGGACTTCCTGCATCTTTTGATTAGCTCCATAAGCTCCACAGAAATCAAACACTTGAGCCAAACGCTTTACTCAATAGGCTTGACTCAATAGGCTCGATCCCTTTGCCTTTAACATGATAATATTTATTGAAACTCAGTTGTTATAA